GCTGCTCATTAATCTTGAATGCCCTGCAAAATATCATGCAAAATCGCCAGGAAAAAAAAAATAGATAAATAAAAACCTTTACACATTGCTGTGCCACGCAGTGGTGCCAGATTTTGAACGACAAAATACGCAAAATTTCTCAAAAATATAAGCTGGAATAGGCTCTAAATTCTAGATACCAGTCTTTAAATAAAACCCAAAAGCTAAACAAGACATAAAGATGAAAAATCTAATTGTGCACTTATTTGATCTGATTGACAGTCTGAAGAAGTTGCCTATTTATCGCTGCAACTTGTAAGATTAATAGATTTTTCTGGCAGATCGTAATTATGGCAACATATCCATATCTGTACAGATGTAAGTAACATTGTTTATACATATGTATGTATATGTATGTACAGAATGTCCATTAATTGTTTGCAAAACAAAAAAAGTCGTACAAATTCAACTTTAACATCATACATATTTTATTAGGAAATGCACTTTTTCTCAGAATTATTTTTTACATTACTTTTGTTTCATATACTCTTAAAGAAAATGAGATGAATAGCAACAAAAATGTACAAAATATATACATAAATCAAGCAATTCAATATTTCTTAAGCAAACAATGATTTAATTGTCATGTTTCTAAGTTTTATTGTAGCACTTGACCATGATAACATTTCTGTTGCAAAAAATGAAATTTCATGATACAAGTTGTTTTTGCTAGTATCCTGCTATGCCAATACTTCCTACGAAAATTTAACAGTATCATCTGTATTTTAGTATTAATATATGATATTTACCATGGTATATAATGGTAAATCTCATGTTCAATCTAAAGGCCTACAAAAAAGTTTAGTTTTGTTCCATTAGCTTCCATAGATAGCCAAATAATATAATATATATAATATATTATTTGCATTTCAACAAGTTTCCAGGCTAATACATTTCCAAATAGGCTAGATCTAGCCATAAATAGGCTGAAATGGCAGCACTGATGGTCGGTCGTATGTTAATGGCTGGCAGCGAGGAGTATTTAGGCAAATGTGGTTCCAGCTGACAAGAATCAACGACAGCAACAGCAGAGGCTACGACAACAGATAGGGCCCAACAACAATGGCTCGACATAACAATAACAACAACAACAACAGCAACAGCAACAAACACTACGACAACAATGACATCAATAGGCGCAATTGAAACAAGTGTTGTCACGCCGCTGTCCTGGCCAAACGCTTGACAGGCCACACGTCCAGCCCAGGCCCAGTGTCCATTTGGTATACCCTAACCAACTAGTGGGATTAATCCAGTTGAAAAAGCACATGGATCTAATGGCCAAAAGCTTGCAAAGTAGTTTAGAGCTCAAAGGCTGCATTCATCAGACAACTCTCTAGTGGAACATATATACATATATACTATATACATATATGTATATATGTATGCCTGGGGACTCTCATTAAACGCAACCAACGACAATTTGTATGGATTTTAGCGTACGCCCGTGCCTATTTCAGAGTATCCCGACTTTGTTTTGCTTGGCGCTTTTTGTTTACCGTATTTGACCTATATAGAGACGCGTCTAGTTGCGCCTCACTTGGCACAATCGACAAGGGGGGGCGGGGCGCCATGGCGCTAAGGACTATACAAAGTGACATGCTTGGCTGAACATTCAATTGCTGCCGTGTTCTTGTCGCTGCAATTATACAAATTAATTTCCAGACAAAGGCGTACAGATTGTTTTGCACAGTGGCGCTGCGCGAGTGGGCGTGGCATTGGGAGCTGGAAACATCAGACAGTCGACTAGATAAACAACGAAAAAAGCGAACAATGAGCCAAAAACAATGGCAAACATTATCGCATGGCCATCGATGGTCTATCAATAGAGGCGCGCATCTTCTCAGGCAAGTGAGCACATCAAATGCAAGCGTCTAGTGCTGCTGCAGCTGAGAAATTGCCATTCCCCAATGCCCCAATGCCCCAATGGCCCAATGGCCCAATACACATTTCCCCATCATCCGGCGCCCGACTAAAACAGCGCCACGGGTGTCCACGCGATATGCGGCGTTGTTCTTAGCGGGGTTTCTCATAGCTAACATCATTGGCATCCCAAGCATAGTTTCATAGTCCACGTTGTCTGAGTGCTTAAGGGGGGTCAGCACATTCGTTTCGCTGAAAGCATTTGCCATGTTATTCTTTTGTTTTATTTCCTCTCGAACCGCACTCTCTCTCTCTCTCTCTCTCTCTCTCACCCTCGCTCAATCCGTTTATTTTTCTTTTTTGCGAATGCAATCATGCTGAATTAACCTTCACCTCGTCATCGTCCATGCAATCCATTTAAGCTGCGCGCTTTCGGAAATATATATCTTTAAGAGCGACACGTTTCAGCTGCAGTGCCAAGCTTTACAGTCGCCCATTAACAGCTTCTGTTAAGATTGTTCAAATTTAATATCGATAAATAATAGAAGAAATACGATGACATGATATATGTATGTACATAAATATAAGCGCAAGCTAATATTATCACTAGCCGGAGAACTCATAGACTAGACATGTATTACAATTTTTTTTCGAGGACGAAAAAATGCTCCGAGGAGACCACACAGTTTCATTTCAAAATATGCCTAGACTAAGTCCTATATCTGGTCAGTGTCTATACAAATCGAAGCTACCTCAACAGCTGTTTGGAAGCTGCAATTGGAGCGAACAGATGTTGACTTTTATGGCGCCTGTTCAGTGCTTGGCTGTTAACTAATAGCTGTCTCAATGGTCCCCCGTTGGATATATTTAATCCACTTATAACTGCCTCGCACAAAAAGTACTTGGGCACTCGAATCGTTCTATCAAGTGCTTTATTAATGGGTTCCAGTGTTTGGCTCGCATTTTCTGCAAACGTTGCAGCTAAACTTTTGGCCTGGTTCAAAATGTTGTTTTTCGCCAGTTTTTTTCAGTTGTCGTATTTCTTTTTTTTTTGGGGTTCTCACGCAGCAGTCGCCGCCAACCAGGCGCGGAAATCGGGCAGCCAGCCAGAGCCAGCCAACGAACGTATCCATGCGTTGCATCGAGACACGGGGCCTGGCTGGCTTTTCGCTTTCAAATGCCTATGCAACAATGGTGCTTTGGGGCAGCTGGAGGGGGGCGTGTGGCGAAGGGAGTGGCCTTTTTTTATGCAAGTGGTTTGATTTTTGATTTTGGCATTCTTGTGCTTGTCGCTAGCTGCTTAAATCTGAGCTGGCTTTCGATTTTGTGGGTCGCACAATTTATGCGCACTTTATGCGTTTGCCCAAGTCGTGACTTGGACCCAACAGATTACAGCGCGAGGCATGGAGCCGATGTTATGTAATGTGCGTGTGCGTTTGCGTATGTGTGTGGGGGGCTGCGTTGCGCTATTAAGTGAGAGTTGCACCCAGTTGTTGCACCAGATCCAAGCGGCAGCTGCAACTTGTTCGCTGCCTGCAAGGCAGAACAATTAACAACGTCGACGGTTGCGCACAAATGCATTTTAATAACAGCCAATTACAACATTCAATACAAATTGTGTACGCATATTTGTGGCTAAGATTCTGGGCTCTAGCGAGCAGAGTATAACCAGTTCTGAGTTCTGGCCATTGCAATGGGTCAAGAGCTTTTGACTCAAGTGAAGAAAGCTGAGCGAGTAGTACAAATAGTATATCTGATAGAGAATAGAGCTGACGAGTGGCAAGTAGCGAGTAGCGAGTAGCGAGTAGCGAGTAGCGAGTAGCGAGTAGCGAGTAGCGAGAGAGGAGAAATGCAAGCAACGGGGATTAAGTGACGATAGTAAATCGAACGAGTACAAAGTGAGCAGTAGAGAGTAGCGAGTGAAGAGTAGCGAGTGAAGAGTAAAGAGTAGCGAGTAGCGGGCAGCGAATTGAGCGCGAATCGCGCATAATGAGGAGAAGAGCAATTAACTAATTGTGTAGAACTGATGAGCTCCTGGTGTATGAGTGTGGAGTTAAAAGAAATAAGTGGAGATTGAGAGCATAGATGAAAGAGATATTAATAGCAATAGAGAGGGGAGAATGTAACGAGAAATTAATAAAGAGTAGCGAATAGTAAGATAGTAAGTAATAGTAAGATGCAGCTGAGGAAGTACATATATGTATGTAAATACCATCAGTGACAGCGCCAAAGATAAGCAAATTATGAAGATAAACATAGATAATCTGTGCTTAACTTTAAGTTAATTTCGCTCACGTTATCAACTCTAATCTCAAGTAAATAAATACATAAAGAAATAAATAAAGTATAAGTAGAAGTCCATCAAGCTATCTATTTAATCGGCACAATCTAATGTGGGCAGCAATGAATGGCGCTCACACAGCAACGAGTGAATGAATATACGAGAAAGGAGCCTGTCACATGATTCATGGCAAACAAAAACAAAAACATCGGCTTGCTGCTTAGGCAACTATTTGGCTTTTGCTACATTTTGTCACTAGTTGACTTTGTAGTTCATGAAGTGCGTATGAAGCAAGTTAGCTGTTCCTGCTGCCGCATGCCGCATGCCGCAGTTGGTTGCATGGAATTTCCTTGACCGGATCAGCAAATTAGTCAAAAACAACAACAACAACAACAACAATCAATCAATAATAACAATTTCCAATTAAACAATGCGATTTCGATCAACTCGAATCTGCAGCGCACTGAAAGCCAATCAGCAAATGGGCAGAGCAACAACATTGAGGCGGGTGTTGGCTGCAGCGACTGCGACTGCGACTGCGTCTGCGTCTGCGTCGCATTGCGTTGGCCGCGCCTGCGCAGTGCGAGCATTCACAATGAGCAGACAGCGGCTTGTCGCTGGGGCTGCCTGCTTTGCCAAAATGTTGGTTGGCATTGCAAACCCGTTTTCCAGCGGCTGCCACAGACGCTGGACCATATTTTCCCAGCGGCTTTTAATCATGCGGCGCTGTATAAATAGGCGCAAAGAACGCGACACTGAGACAGTTTTCGATTCGAAGCCCAACAGCCCGGTGCAGCAAATCAGTCTCAAAAAAAAAAAACTACATTCAACGCATTTTTTTTTTCACGTGAAGTAAACTAACTGAAAATCCACATTCACAAAATGGCATTCAAGGTGCGTAAGGACTCAAGTGAATGATGCATTGTGCGAGAGTGTGTGTGACTGTGTGTGAGCGTCTATTCCATAGACTGCCTGACAGGATACGCTGGCAAGGACAAAGCCATTTGCCAAGCTCCTTTTGTCCGCTGGGAACTTTATCGTTGCCTTAGTAAATACTCGAATTCTGATTTCTGCTGAAATTCTGCTAAGTTCTCTTGAATCTCGGACAGCTTTTGCAGCATTTACTGAAAATTTACATTTTCCATGTACCTTTGAGCAATTCGACTAGAAACAACGTTTGGCCCACATCAGGATTTTCAGTCATTGTAATCCATATTTTTGTTTTCTCTCTCTTTTTTCGGTTTTTTTTTTTTAAGCTCTGTGTACCTGACATTGCGTTTGGCTTTTCGCATTCAGTTAGGGAGAGCATTATGTGTATTTATGTTATTTTTAGCTGTTCATCAATAATCTCTACAGCTCAACGTTGATGCTTTAAGAGCCCAACTCAGGAAAGTGTGAGAAGAGTTCTATAAGCTTCCACACTTCTCGTTCAATTTATGCACAAATTCACTAATCTCAGCTCAACCAAAAGTGACTTAAAGTTTCACTTAATGGCTTAAGGTAGAGAGACTAGAAAAGTAGAAAAAAAAAACATACGCACGCACACTCTTTCGCCTGGGACGGCATAATTGAATAATTTCAGCTGTCACTAGCAGGCGGCTTTATCGAATTAAAGTTTCAAAAAATTGGCCAAGCTACGCAAATCGCAAACTTTTTAATTCCCTGTAGCTCCGTGCAACTTGGCCGAAACAGATTGACCTCCGTTGTGCTTTGACTCGCTTCGAAATTCAAAGCGAATGCTGGTAACTGCGAAGCGTAATCAAATCGTTGAAGGTAATCGAGCGTCTTAATGCTAATTAGCTGGCTCAAGACGCGCAATTAATAAGCAGCCGAATGCCGAATGCTGAATGAAAGGAAAAGCCAATCAATATTATAAATATGCAAAGGCGAAATAGCTGCGTGGCGGCAATGAGAAGTGGGTCAAGTGGGCAAATCTAAATTATCCTCGAGCTGTCCTCGAATGCCATTCACGTGCCAAGAGCTACACGTCCTGGCATCAGCTGACCAAGCTACGTTTCATCCTCAGTTGTCCACTTAAGGCACACGTTGTGGACTTTGCCTTCGACTCCGCAGTTTTGTTTAAATGTTCATTTTCGTTGGGCCGCTGGGCCGTTGGCCGTTCGTGCGGCCTTGGCCACGGTGCCGGCCCATTCTTGTCCGGCAGTGAGTTACGCTTAATTAAAATCAGATAAATACCCAAAGACAAATAAAACCCGCGCCAACTCAACTGCAAGTCGGGCACGTCAGCCTGCCAGCGTAGGGCAACAACAAAGCACAGCGGAAAGGCAACGGAAATGATATAAAGTTTAAATAAAATATAAATACAAAAAGAGAAGAGCTCCCTAGTGGGAGCGTCTCTTCTTTTTGCATTTTTACGCGTAAATTGAAATTCAATGGAATTGTTTACAAAAATGTAAAAGTAAGGTCACAAAGGACAGTCGAAAAAACACACACCCTCAAGTAAACCAAACCCAAAGTACGCAAACAGACAAAAAGCAAACGGCCAACATGTCAGACCAGCCAGATTAGTTTTCAAGAAAGCTAGTGCGATAGGACAATTTAAATTCCGCACAGAACTCAAACAGAAAAAATAAATGGAATCACCCAACAAAGGACGAGTTGCATGCTAGGAGTTTCAGGAAGCAAATGCTCAGCTCGCAGCCCCTGCAGAACAGCGTGTGAAGGGTCGAGCAGTTGCGTAAGAGACCAGCGAAAAGCCTGGGAAAAGCAAATAACACAGAGAACTCAGAAGAGTGGGGCAGGCGAAAGGGTAACGAAGAGGCGCTGCAGTGCAGCTGTTGCAATTAATTTGGAAGAGAGGAATGCGACGAGTAATCGATTAACTAGTAGCGGGTATATTAAGCGAAATAAATTAAGGGGTAGTTAGTGATGAAAGCAAACATATGTATATGAAGGAAAGGGGAAAGGCAAAGGGGAATACAGTAAACAGTAGTCTTTGGCGAGTGGCGAGTAGCGAGTAGTGTGCGACGAGTAACTACATATATTAAGGGAAATAAAGTAAAGAGTAGAAAGTAACGATTAGCATGCGACGAGTAACTTAACTAAGGGGAATAAAGTAATAAGTGGCGAGTAGCGAGTAGTAAGGGGAATAAAGTAAAGAGTAGAAAATGACGAGTAGCTGGTAAGGGGGAGCATGCGACGAGTAATTATATTAAGGGGTATAAAGTAAAGAGTAGAAAGTGACGAGTAGTATGCGACGAGTATCTTCATTAAGGGGAATAACGCAATGATAACGAGTAGTGAGTAAGGAATAGTATGCGACGAGTAGCTACGTATATTAAGGGGAATAATACAAAGAATAGTTGGTGGCGATGGGCTAGTAATGAGTAACATGGGAAGAGTGATCCATAATAATATAAAAAGATGAGTAATTAGGCACAAGTAACTAATAACGAGTGACAAGCATTACTTACCATGCGACCGACAACTACTATAGAGAATAAACCAATGAAAAGTAACTGAGTTATGAGAGCCGAAGAAATAGTAGGCAGAAGCGAAAAGTAACTATATTTATATATTTTTTTTTACGGAATTATAAAATATATTTATTCACATCTTAGGCGCTACCTTTTGGGCAACCTAATCTAAACAGAAATTAATCAATTTATTTACTTAAAGCTATATTAATATTATAATTAAGAGTATATAAGATATAAAGTCATTACGAATGTGCAGGTGTTCCGCAGGTCGGGAGGGTGGTGGAGTTTAAGTCTTCTCCTAGTACAAGTACGGCGGTTGAGAGAACTTTGAGCTGCAGTACCTAGGCGCCTGGCCAAGCTATTCGAGTGAGACTTTATTCTCAACGTACTTTTTGGCCATCTCCTTGAATTTGTCTACAATTTTGGTAACGTTGCGATCGCATTCAATATTCCCGAGTCTCAATTAGTAACGAATAAATATAAAAAACAATATGCATGCGATCTATAAACAACAATGGGTAGCTATATAGTAGCGACTAGTCAATCTACTAGAGCGATTAGTAAACATCTACTAACTAGCAAAGTGAGCGGAGTGGAAAACATCAGAGAATATCCGCCGAAATACATGAGAACATTGACAAATTAGCTAATTACGAGCAAATATTTAAATTGTAAGCAACCGGACGATGGCTGAGCGAGCGACCCTGGGCCATTTACTGTACGTAATTGATATGAATGAAGTACTGTCATATGTTAATATATAAAGCAGTTGGCCAAACAGAGAGAGAGAGAGAGAGAGAGAGAGAGAGAGAGAGGGGGAGAGAGAGAGAGCTGGCATGACAGAGTGCAAGCAAATATTTGCACAAAATATCACGAAGCATTGCTCAGAGAGAGCGAGAGCGACAGAGACAGAGAGGAAAGAAGATGGCGAGCAGTGAAAAATTTGAATTTCCAACTACTTTGGCAACTTAATTAAAAGTTTATGCGCCTGCAATTTCCTGGTGCGTCGTGTGCTCCCTGTCGATATGCAAGCCAAATACAAATGAGTTGTCAGCCAACAGGCTGGGCTCACTAAATTATGCATGTGTGTGTGTGTGGGTGTGTGTGTCCATGTTGTGCTTCAAGTTCTATACCATAATATGTATTTATCTATGCAGGTCATCTTCTGCATTGCCGCCATGGCGATTGCCTGCGCCCAGGCCAAGCCCGGCGGCCCAGCTGCCTACTCGATTAACGCGCCCAGCGTGGACCACGCCTCCGTTGGCAATACACAGGAGCACACCGTGAAGGGACACTACGGCCAGTCGTCGCAGTCGGACTACGCCAGCCAGGTGCAAACCGCCCACTCGCAGTCCCACGTGCAGCGCTCCAGCATCAGCAACGATGGCGGTCTGGCGCCTGCTCATTATGCTGGTGAGTGAACTGACGCCTTCAAGCGTGCACACGCACACATGCACACACGCACACACATACTCACACATGCAGCACTCACTTTGATATTCACAATACGCACAAAGCACTCACTATTCATTGAGTATGCACGTAGTTAATATGCTAACACGAAAAAAAAAAAAAAAAACAACAACAATCTATAGCCGCGCCACAAGTTGCCACCTATGCAGTCGGACACACTGCACCCGCCCAGATCCAGCTGGCCAGCGGCCATGGCCTGGCCTACGGCGGACACTACGCAGCCGCCGCCGCCGCCGCACCCGCCATCGCCTATGGCGGCCACTACGCCTCCGCGCCCATCGCATCCTATGGCGGCCACTATGCAGCCACGGCGCCCGCTCTCCAGCTGTCGGGCGGCTCCCACCTGAGCCTGGGCAGCCTCGGCAGCCTCGGCAGCCTGGGCTATGGCTATGGCTATAGCGCAGCTGCTGCCGCACCGGCTCTCTCCCACGGCTACCAGCTGGCCGCCCCAGCCGCCGCTCCGATTGTGAAGTACGCCGCCGCTCCAGCCTATGGTAGGTGTTCGTCGGATCCGTTGTAGACTCCTAAGCAGCCGCTAATCTCTGCACCTCAATGCGCTTACTCCGTAGTCGTAGTACCTAATATCCTAACTGTAGTCGCAGTAGTCGTAGCTTTTACTAATTTTCCAGCCACGCGCGTATTCAACACTTTTCTTTCAGCTCCTGCCTCAGCCTCGGTCTCGGTCTCGGTCTCGGTCTCGGCTTTAGCTCGCCTCCGTCTTTGCCTTTGCCTTTGGCTTTGGCTTTGTGTGTTCAGTTTCCTTTAGCTTGGCTTCTGCCATAGTTTATTGTACTTTCGCTTTGGCCAGCCAAGTGTATACATGGCCAAAAGCAAACCTAATGCTCGGCAAATACAGAGTACAACTTTTCGTCGAATCAGGCCACGCTGCAGTGGAGCGGGGCGTGGGCGGGGCGGGGTTGATATGAACTGGGGTCGAGAACGAACAATCCGAGCCAAACACAAACATCAACTCTGCCAGCCAGACAGGAGCTCTGTCGGAAAGTGAGATAAATTCGTTGAAATTTCGGACACAAATCCTAAACGAGACAGATCACAAAAGGGGCCAGAGTCCCTAGACCAGCCATAGAGATTATATATTTTATTACAATTATTATTACTGAGAATATCTTTATTTGCATTTCATTCTGTTGACTTTTGGTCCTGTTGGCCAGGGACGACTCCATAGTTCTTCTTGAAATGGGGCTCTTTAGGTTATGCTGGCTGCATTGATAGACAAATGCACAATCAATATGCAATTATGCAATTATTTCATAAATATTGGAGCAGCTAGCTGCGCTAGTTGAAATGTGCCTCATGCATTATCTATATGAAAAGGGGCGTGGCTGTGGTCGCTGACGAATATCGAAGTGAACATTCGGCCACTGTCGCTGTTGCTTAGCGCAAACACAAACAGAGTGAGTGAGAGAGTGAGAGGGAGTGAGTGAGACAGTCGTAAGAGTAGTTCGTTGGGACAGCCATGTCGGTCAACGCGAGCCGTATAATCAATCATTCATATATTGTTGCCAACTACTTTAAGCCATTGACACGCAGACCCTTCGCACACGATGACTATCGTAATGATGACGATGACGATGACGATGACGATGGTAATGGCGATGTGTGCGTATCGCTTTCCAAGTGGGGCAGTCAGTTTGTCAACCATTTGAGCAAGTGGCATTTGGCATTGCGGGCGCATTTGCCACGCCTCGAGGAGTCAATGGGACAGCCGCCTTCGACCAGCTGGCCAATCTATGCCAAATGCGGCGTTGCCACACTTCACCATGTCTTCCCACTTAGTTGCACTCTATTTTATACGACTTGCCCTGTTGCCATAGCTCCTCACAGTGCATATGAGTCTCTGCAAACAGTTTATTTTCATTTTCGTTTTCATTCTCGTTTTCATGCGCTGTTGCCGCATTTCACAAATGCTTGACACCGTTCCTTGAAGTGAAAGCCAGCCAGTGTTGAGCAATGTTCATGTACTTATGCTATTGGCAAACTTCAGTCCATTGCCCATTGAGCAGTGTTTCCACACTTCGTCAAAGTGCCTTTGTTTATACTTACGTTTGTAGAATTACTTGCAATGTTGCCCCACTTTAGTTAACTTTGGCAATGTTGCCCCACTTCATTCAACTGCTTGCAACGTTGCCTCACTTCAGTTTTCATTAACTTAGCAGTGTTGCCACATTTCATTCGACTAGTTTTTTTCCATTTCCTTTGCTTATACTTGGTTATGTTAAAGTACTGGCAATGTTGCCCCACTTCAGTTTGTTAACTTGTCAATGTTGCCGCACTTCATTCAATTGCTTGCAACGTTGCCTCACTTCTCCTTCCTCATGCTAGCTTATGTTCAAGTTTGTGCAACATTGTCTCACTTCAGCTTTCATCAGCTTGGCAATGTTGCCCCACTTCATTCAACTGCTTGCAGCGTTGCCTCGCTTCACTTTCCTTGTAGCTATTGAGCCACAGTGGCAGTGGGGACAGCACCACTGTTTCGTATGCTTGCACCAGCGTCTTGCCACATTGTAGCACAGGTTCCAGCAAATCATTTCATGTTGGCTTGACAGTACAAAATTGCAGACCTTGCGTCGTCCGTTGATTGATGTCGACTTGTCAGCTGCCATGTGCTCGAAGGGCGACGGGCGAACCTGCCGAGATCCCGAGCTGGCCGGCCAACTGTTTGCCTTCTGGTAACAATGGCCCCATTCGCAGCATCTGCGGGCGCGCGCCCATTTCCATTGTTACGGCTGGCAGTCCGTATTGGCCCAGTTATTGATCGCTGCCCGATAGCCCTGGACTTTGAACTTGTACCTGCCGTAGCCGTACCTGCATGCTGGCCCACCCTCCGAGTCTCGTTCCGATTAGGCGTTATCATTTGCATTGCCATTAGCATTAGCATTAATGCGAACTTCTCTCTGTCTCTGTTGCACAGCACCTGGCATCATTGGACACGGCATTGGACTTGCTGCCGCTCCCGCCTACGCAGCGCCCGCCTATGCCACGCATCTGGCCGCCGCCCCAGTGCTCAAGTGAGTAATGCCTGCCGGTTTTATAAATAGAGATGGATCGCAGCGTGCTGCACGCTGCATGCACATCATGTTCTTGCCACTATTCTAACATCTACCATTCACACAGGGCCGCCGTCGCACCCGCCCTGGTGCACACCTCCGTCTCCGGCCACGGCATTCAGTACGGCTACTAGAACAGCGAGATGAGCCAACGTATCCAACCATCCCCCCAGCATGGAGCAAAGGACTGCAAATAATATTCGTGTCGAGCTAAAAAGCTTCTAATGCAACTCAAACTCAAATTCACAGCTGCAGCAGGTGGCGGCGTTGCCACACTTCAGCACTCCACTTCATTTCGAATTCTCTTCTTGTTGATATTTTTTGTGTTTTTTTTTTTTGTTTTCTCTCTCTCTCTGAATTTTGTATACATCTGTTACTATTTGATAAGCATTGGCCAGGAACGGAAAGTCTTTTTATTGCATGAATATTAATTTTCGTCGCTTACTCCGTATATTGTGCGTGTGTTTTTTTTTTATCGCGGTTGAATTTACGTTTTATTTAAAGTTATTTTGTACAGAAAATGCATGTGAAATGTTGGAAAACAAATAAAAATCATTTTATACATAACAAAAAGTATTTTTATTCATGCTGACTTTAATTTGATGTACACCAACCCCCTCCCCCCCCCTGGTAGAGGTACTTGCGTCTGTTGGGGCTTTTCTTTCCCTTTTGTGTGTGTGTGTGTGTGTGTGTGTGGTGGCTATCATTGCCATGAACTAGCCACTGTTGGGGCGCAGTCCCAATACTGCAGTTACCAGATGATATATGGGCGCCAAAAACTATGCTACGATTTATTTGCCACGCTCCAGTTGAGCACTTGCCATACGGACTGCATAGTTTATGGCGCAGTGCGTGGAATTTATCATAGTCGCAACATATATGAATACGACTATCTGCCCAGGCCACAAGCTTAGCTCCGTCTCTCTCCAGCTCGTCCATGTGCGAAAGTATTAAAGTTCAAATGACCAAAGCCCTTCCTTTTTTTCTATACTTTCCTCTTTTCATTTTTTTTTTAGCGCGCGTGCCCCTTGCCCAACCCAGATTTAGCACAATGAAACGTATTTTTAGATAAGTGCTAAAAATAGAAAAAAAATGCAAATAGAACGATGTCAACATGTCAGAGCATACGCCCATAAAAAGGCTGACATACAGAGCTTGAATGAAGGTGAAACACCTGAAAAACAAAATATATAAAAGTATTTAGAGCGATTTATAAATGCACATTTAAATGAAGTGAATCGCTTATAGTTGTGACTGTAGCTATTTACATAGATATAAATATTCATGTTTAATCATTCACGAGGCGAGAGATGAGAGAGCATATTGGCTTTGCACAGGGTCCGTCCTACTGTCCGTGCCTCAATCCTCAGTTCCTCCTGGTCTGGCCTGAAATTTGGAATGAATACTCGGTAATAGCGATATGTTTATTAGAGGCGTGGCAAATCGAAAAGTCTAAGTATTCATTTGCATGTAACTTTAAATTTGAAATATATGTACATTTACTCGGCCTAAGAATAATAAGATATGACGACTATACATCCTCCTAATTTTTCTGCTAATCTCTTATATTACTTTTCCTTAGAATAATATTTATATTAAAATACAATATATTTTGAAAAATATATCAAATTTTTTTAAAAACAATATCTTAAAGCTAAAGCTCTCAAATGGTACAGTTAGTAACTTAACGGAGTTTTCCCTGGAGTTTTTTTGGGCCCTGCATGAGTATTATGCAGTCGATAGCTCCCGTCTGAGTTCACATATTTTCACGATTTTCTCTTTAAAGACTTACAGAAAGCCACTTCATACCACTTAAATTTTGCCAATCTATGTAATATTCATATTTGCAATGGAATCGAAATTGATATTCATTGAAAATGGTTTCTCTGGCTGAAGGCAGTGTTAATGAAGAGATATTCATCGGGCAACGCATACAAATAACATAAATTATTATTATTATTATTGCAAGAGAAAATAATAGTAATTGTCTAAGGAAACAAGAATTTCGAGCTGTCAGTGTGGCAAAGCAGCGACGACATATTGTTTACTTGTTAAAGTCTCGGCAACTGACGCACACACACACACACACACACACGCACGCACACGCACACTAACAGCGCATGGCATTCAAATATTGATTCAAGATTTTGTGGCCCTAGAGGCAGGCACAGCAAACATTTCAGACAAGCAGCTGGATATCAATTAAGATGCAAAGTTATGCCAGACTCTGGCACAATAATAACAACAACAACAACAACAACAACAACAACAACGAGGACAACAAAGCAACAGCCACGGCCCAGCGCCAGTGCGTGCCGTGACTTGTGGCTTATTTGATTTGATTTAGCCAGCATGTTAAATTCAGCAACAGTTGTCCGCCAAATACTGTTGGCATTTTCATTTAGAGCGAACACAATGCAAATGCAAACAAAAGCCGACTCCAGTTCGCTGGAAGCACGGGACACCTGGGCCCAAGGTCGCGTCCCAATGTAAATACCGCGGCTGAGCAGCTGAGGCAGCCCCAGCAGCAAAGGAGACACAAGTGGTGGGGAGCTGGAAGCCAAAACACAACAATTTCATTAGCAAATGCAGCCGTGAGACAGAGAGACAGAGAGAGAGAGAGAGAGGGAGGGGATGGGAAGAGCTGAGATAGGAGCAGAGCTGGGTGTAGCGTGTATTGAGGCAAGGCCAGTTCAGTCAGCTCCGTCAGCTAAGCGACCTCTGCAAGATGCCAAAGCAGTGCACAGAGGCTAAAAGAGAAGAAGAAGAAGAAGAAAACAAACAACTTTCACAAAGGTCGTCACTTAACTATTCAAAGTTGGCAATGGCAAATGCTCTGTACCGAATAAATACAAATCGTTTTGCGTATTCTTATTCCTCTTCTTCTTCTTCTTCATCATCTACTTCTTCTCCTCCTTGTACACATTCTTATTATAGTTGGCAGCCAAAAGCAGCACTGCAAACGGCGGATGACCCTCGTGGAATAAGTTAGGTAAGTCCTTAATGGGACTCTCGGTCTGAAGCCCTAGCAGAGCTGCGTCGCGCTTTAAATTGAGCTGATGGCGTCGTTCCATATCTCCTCAATGTGTATATTAAATATTAAACTCAATGGAATATTACTTGTACTTGTAGTAAATAAAATAATACTGTGGATGTCGCCGATGCTTCAGCTGCTGCACTTAATGGCCAATATAGATGTGGACTCTATTAAATTTCAGGGGACATATCCCTTGGCCAATTAAGCGAGGGTCGTTTGCAAAATGAATGAAATGAAATGCTTTACTAACGTAGCGTAGGTGAAGAGGGTAGAGAGTAGAGGGAAATGGCAATCGGACGTGGGCTGGCCAGTGTTGAGCAGTGCCGAACATATTTGAATAAAAAATTTCATTTTGGTGCGTTCGGCAAACACAAATGTGCAATGCCGAGAGAGCTGGCAAAAAAAGATGGTCAACACAGTTGAAGCCAAACACAAATACACACACACACACACACATACACTCGCACACATAGACATAGGCATTGTGGCTGGGTCGTTTCCTGTTCATTTCCCCAGCTGACAGCACGCACAGAGTGACAAAGCGAGACCCAATGTGTCTGGCCATATGAAACGCAGCCAAGTCAACACCTTGACTAATCCCCACCTCACACTCTCGAGCAGCTTGATGAACAGTTCTGGCCAAGCCTGTGCGCCGTCTGCTGCATTGCAGAGCTTCAGCAGAGTTTCGTTTACCTGTGGCATATGCGGAATGCCGCAGCCGAAACAGCAAACAGCAAAACTTTAACTAATTTCGATCTAGTATGTGTGCGTGTGTGTGCGTGTGCGTGCTTGTACGTGCCAGCTTCAATTAGGCAAATAGTTTGCCTTCACTGTGCACTCTAGCAGCTGACCGACTAAACGAACAATACGGTTTGCCCCATTCTCTGGGTCAAACTGAATTCAATCCGTGTGCATACAAATTATACTAAATAGAAACTAAAGCTAAACTCAACGCCTGCTGTTCAAGCATGAACATTTGTCTCTCTGTCCTAGCTGTTGGCAGTGCGGTTCTATGGACTTGCCGCAGAGCAAAATCAATTTGCTATTCAATTTAATGAAGCTCAAAATATTGTCTTTGGTATGGATTGACCGCACTGCAACTCCAACCACACCCCTATCTATTCTTGATATTCAAACATATTGCAAATAAGACATACATTAATTAAATATATATGTATGTATGCGTTTGCTTATGTATTTATACTTAATTTATTTGATTAACTTTGATTGAGGTTTGTCTGATTCACAAGGGACCTGGGGCAGTGATCTTACCTTAGCGCTGGGAAGAGCCACTCAGAGCGGCTTAAGGGGTCAGATGAGTGAGCTGGAATGATGTACAGAGGAATCCTGACTCGTTATAGCCGAATTCTACTGTAGTATGCACAGACAGTAAGTAACAATTATATTCGTTTATTTTTTAAATTTGGAACTTGAACCTTGACCGTCTATAAAACATCTAATATTAATTAAATTAATAAAAATCAAATTAATAATTAAGTGTATGTATGAGGTATATATCAATATATTTAACACACTAACATTGATTATGCATAAACCGTAAAAAAAAACGAATTTAAATGTTACTTACTGTATGTTGCGCTCAGCTGGGTGAGCTCCTGCGATCCATGCTGATCTGGTCTCACTTAAACTTTATATGGGCACACTTCCTACAAGTAAATATTCATATGTATACAAAGAACTCATCTCCCTTATATGCTCTATGTCTGCAAATGAGTGTCTCTTACTTACACTCTGAAAAGAGAGCCAGAGAGCAATCGTTGGCTTCGGCTCTTTAACGAGGTCGCTCGCGATCGACTAGAAAGCATTTTGTCTCAGCCTATTCCCTGATGGTTCGATTGAGTCAATTGGAGTTAAACTTCTTCTCTAAGCAGGTCATTAGCGTACTTGAATTAAGCGAGTGCATATGTATGTATGTGAATATGAGGTCCGTTTTGACTGAGTCTGCGTCATTTGCTTTCTTACTCAGCCTCATTGAGCGGACGTCAATCGTATCCCTCTGCCCACACGATGCTCGTTGAAAGAGCATAGCTCAAGGCCCTCAACAGAAGAAGAAACACGAAAAGAACCAAAGTCTCGTGCCCAAAGCGAGAAGGAGAGAGTATGACTTTTTTCGCTGGATTTTGAGAGCGGCTAAAAGTTATTAGAAAGCTGTGAGAGTAATTAGAGCGAGGCCTACTAGTAATATTTCTTATGTCTTCAAGTAAAGTCCGTTTTATTTATAAATAGCAAGGCGAAGGCCCCACTTGCCGCTGAGCTCTTGGTCAGTTCTGTTCCTTTTACAAATATTGTTTCAAGTTAGTCTTAATTCGATATTCATTATAATCTCTAATAAATAAATGTAAATAAATTGGGAATAATTGTAAGTTCCACGTTCCGAAAAGTCTTTACCAAGAATTGTCTTCAGACGAAAATGATCTCGTCTTAAGTGATTTAAGCAAAAACTCTAGAAAAGACTCCCATTAGTACAACTACTAACACCATACTATATACAGATATCATATTGCTTTTCATAGGAAGTCTAACTAAATTGAAATAGTTACTTTATATTCCCCAATTGTGGGAGGATCTAAAGATTTTCGGCCCTAATGCCACATACATAGTCACACATGACTGCAAGCCGTTAGTCTGGGGAAACGAGACTCATTTGGGGATTATGCAAAGTTTATTTATTGACAATTTATGACTCATAGCTGCGCTGCTGCAAAATTTTCACATTGTAACAAAAGAGTTTATAATAATATGACTATTACGATAAAAATAAATTAGGACTAATGATTGGGGCAAAAAAAAAAATTGCTTGGGACAGGAAAGTGTGTGAATGGTTTGACAGCTGCTGGCGGATGACGGAGGGGCAGTGAGGGGGGGATTGTGTACTCTGGTCCACTTCGCGGTCACAGGCTGTGATCCGGACTGCAACAGCGCCTGGCATTCGAGCAATTCGGGGCCTAGAAGTTGTAGTTGAGATTGCCGCTGCTGAATCTCACATGGGATACGGCCGATGCGGGCTGGTACGCTGCAGCAGCCAGCTCGGGGGAGTCGGGCACTGCCATGCCGTAGTTGGTGCTGGTGCTGGGCGCGAGCTGGCCGGTGGCGAATTGCTGGGCAACGTTCTGCTGCTGATCGCGGAGCACGTTCTGCTGCTGCTGCTGCATGAAGCCCATGTGCTGCTGGGTCGAGTAGAAGTTGGCCAGTCCGCCGGCCGGTGCCGCTGGCTGGGCCTGCTGTGGCAGCTGTGCCAACTGCGGCAGCTGTGACAGCTGTGGCAGCTGTGCCGGCTGCTGCTGCGTCTGCTGGCGCTGCTGCGGCTGCGGCTGCGGCTGAGGCTGCAATCCGTTGTTGGAGCCAAAGGCCTGGCGCGAGAAGAACCGACTGCCGTCGTTGTTGATTGTGTTCGCCTGCTGCTGCTGCTGCTGCTGCTGCTGCTGGCTGTGGGGCAGCTCGTGCTGCAGCTGGTGCTGCTGCTGGCCAGAGACGTCGGGATAGTAGGTGTAGAGCTTCTGCAGCAGCTGCTGCTGCTGCTGCTCGAACTCCATGCGCTGACGCTGGTAGTCGAGGAATGCGGCCTGCATCTGATCTGCATAGCTGGGGAGGTTGAGGGGCGCCTGCTGCTGCTGTTGCAGTTGTAGCAGTTGCTGCTGCTGTGCCAGGTACTGCTGCTGCTGCTGCTGCTCCTGCTGCTGCTGTAGCTGGCTGAGGGCAACTGAGGCTGGCTTTGCTTTGCCAATGGTCTGCTGTTGATATGCAGCTGGGTACTGTACTCCCGCTGAGAATCCGGCGAAATGAGCCGGATTATGCTGTGGACGAGAGCAGAAAGAAAACATATTTCGTGTATTCAGACTTGGCGAGGGATGCATTATTATTATATACAGTATGCCTGCCGTCTCCGTGGCTTTTGTTTTTTACCAGTTTAGCAGGACTTCGGCGTGTCTTGACAGCTCTCATCTTCGACGTAGTTGTATGCAATCGATAACCACACGCACACACACACGCAATCGCAATCGCAATCACAATTTAATAACTAATGGAAATTTTGCAGTTTTGGTTCAAAAAGTTTAAAATTCTAGAGAGTTACAAATTCAGAAGTTCGAAATCTAATCTGATCAAACGAGCGAGCGAGACTGGCACTACACAAAGCCGAGAGCTCTCAGCTGAGCGTTGACAGTCCGGAAACATTTAGCACGGCCAGCTTTGATGCCAGCAAAAACAACACGGCGAACGAACAAAGCGGCCGGGCCAGGGCCACGAATCGAGCATCTGGCTCAGATTCTGAGAGATTCGGCCAGATTCGCTGCACGCAAGCCCCAATGGGCCATATAACGGGCGTTGGCATCGAGCGGCTCGCACAGTCGAGAGCGAAATGTCTTTGAGATTGCAGTTGACGCTGATGCAGCTGCAGCTGGTGGTGGTGGTGGTGGTGCTGCTGCTGCTGGGCCACTGCTGGGGGCGGGCTCATCCGCAGAATCCGTTCGAGAAGCTGGCGGTGGGCGCGCTCGGCGTGGGCAGCCAGATCATGAACAGCCTGCAGGAGGGCGCCAAGGCCTCGCAGCAGCTGAACTTTGACAACGGCCTGATGGCCGTGCACTCCAAGACGGACGTGGGCTATGGCGACGCGATGCGCGGCAACGTGGACGATTCCGACAGCTCCGAGTCGGATGAGAAGCGCCGCCGTCGGCGCAGGCGTCACAGCGCCCAGAGCATGCTCAGCCGGCATCTGGCGCTGCATCGCCACAAACGCTCGCCCTGCATGATGATGGGCGCCACGACGGAGTCGCCCGACGAGGTGGAGGCACGCAGGAGACTCGCACGCAAACGCGCCGCCAACAATGCATCCCGGACGCGCATCAACAAGTCGAGCAGCAAGAAGAAGAAGCTGCTTGAGCCAGCCGAGCGACGACGTCGCCAGGCGCCGCAGCAGGACCAGCAGCAGGGCCCCGGTCTGGGTGAGCGGGTCAAGTACTTTTGGCTCTCAATCGTGGACAACGTGGCCGATGCAGTGCAGCAGATGCGCCAGCGAATCAAAGGAGCCGCCGCTCAAGCAGCCGAAGGCGTGCAATCAATGTAAATGTCAATCAAATGGATTTTTTTTTTTTTTTTTTTGTAAATTAATATATTAATAAAGAGAAAAAGTTGATAAAAAATAAATATATAACAATATAATTATTGCGCAGATCGTAGCAAAAATAGAAAGAGAGAGAAAATGCTAATAAAAAGTTATCGAAAGAAAAAAAAAAACAATTATTATTCAGCTTAGCCAAAGGCGGAACAAGCCCTGTAAGCAGATGCGATTTCTGACATTAGATAGATTAGATAAATCTCTCGCAATAGCAACAAGTTGTTAGGCCGGCGAACATTTCCGGCCAGCTCGCAGCCGGCTCAAACAAAAGCCGCCAAGCGGCGTTGGCTGCACGACAGTTGACGAAATGATTTCCACTTGGCGCTTGGCATTCGGCTTGGTCTTGGCACTCGGCGCGCTGGGGCTGCTGGCGAGCGGACAGACGGACCTGGAGCTGGACTATTCCGATGAGTACGACAGTGTGCGACCGATGCTCGAACAACCGGACGAGCCGCGCCTCGAGCATCGCCTGACGGCAGCGGCTCAGGAGTTTGGCGAGAGCATTCGCGATGCTTGGCAGTCCATAGCCGACTCCTTCAAAAACTACTTCGAGGAGCTGCGCGTTGCCTTCGCCGATGGCATCGACGACAATGTCGAGCCGCTCCCAGTGAACACCTGAGCGTCGACTCTCTGCATGTAAATCTCAAAGGCTTGAAGAATAAAATGCAATCTATAACAAATTATTGAATCTTGACGGGTGGGCAAGAGGAAGGGAGAGAGAGAGAGAGAGAGAGAGAGAGAGAGAGAAGGAACGTATTTAAGGGAGAATCGTATGATATACAGGGAAGTTATATTTAAGGTTTACCATGTAATGAAGAGTAGAGGCAAATGAAATTCTTATTGACTATACTTGAGTGAATTAATATATTTTTATTATATTAATTATATTTGAAAAATGATATTAAAGCCGTGTGAGAAGAGCAGAGGGAAATATTATTTCAGATTTAAGAAGAATAGAAGCAAATGATATGCTTATTATATTAATTCTATATGACTTGCATAAGAAAATTTCAATTGAATCATGTGAGAAGAGCAGAGGGAAAAAATAATTCAATAATTTTATTTATTTATTTTTATTTATTTTTTTTTTTTTTTTTTGTAATACCTATTTTATGAAGAAATATTTGAGAGGGAATGGAAGGAAGTAAATAATATTTAGGATATTCTTTCCGATTCCAGTTTAAGGAAGACGAATTATAAATGAATGGCAAAAGTAAATAATATATGTACATGAGCAGCAGGAGAAAAATATAAGATTCTTCTTGTAATTCCCATTTGAAGCACAATCATACATACAAGAGGAATAAAAGCAAACGATTTTTAGGATTTGCCCTACAGTTATATGAAGAAGTTTAGAGAAGCGAAGGTATATGTTCTCAGTGTTATCTTAAAAATATTAAATGTCAACTAAATTGACTAAAATGTATTTAAAGAAAATGGGGGAAAGGTTGAACAAGTTTCAGATTTATATTCAACTCACATTCAAATAATTTCAGCCTGAAAATAAAAAGAAAATAATCTTGATATGCGGCTCTTGAATAAGCAATTCATTTTCAAACATCTCTTATCAAGAGCGTCACGAATTCATCAAGAATTCTCTAAATAGCTGCACAAAAATCCTTATCAGAGAATGTGTCAGGGCGCAGTTAGGTCGGGCCCATAAATGTGCATGGATTGACAGATGGTAACTGGAGTAAGATGAATGTGATGTGACACATTAAATGTAAATAAACTCGAGTTGTCTAACTGTAATTTCGCGTAATCTGTGAATTGTAATTCAGCTGATCAGACAGCTTCCGGGCTTCCAACTAGATGTGTCGCTAATTAGTGAATGCCAACATCACACACACACACACAAACACACACAAAGGTTGCCCTTTTACATCGACTGTCATGTTATTCGGTTAGATATTGCCTGAGATTAGGATGCCGGATGTGTGTGCAGCACGCCAGCAACTGTTGGCGGTAATTATAACAGATTTGCGCTGCCGACGCTGGCTGCTGTCAATTAGTGAAATGGCTGGATGGGTGGGTGGTTGGTTGACGCCAGCGACACCTCTGTTAAATAAGCCAAGGCGAGAGCCAAGTCAGCCAGTCCCAGACCGACAGCTAAGCTATTTCCATGGAAATGTATATGGTTCCGTTAACTCTGCTGCTGCTGCTGCTGCTCAGCTGCAGTTGCACAGATGCCAGGCCTCAGGTAAGCTGAGCTGCATGCACCCACCCACCCACACACACCCACACACATACATTTCTCTTTGGTTACAGGACCTGGAGAGCAGCATGCTGCTGGCCGTCGCCCAGATGCAGCAGCTGGTGGAGAGCGGCGCCGCGGCACGGAACGAGCACAGCGTCGAGGTGCTCGGCCAGAGGATGGGCGGGGCAACATCTTTCGGCTTTGGCGATGCATTGCGCCCACCCATTGGACGTCGTCGTCGTCGGCAAGTGGAGCTGACCTTAATGCGTCGACCTGAGCTTAACCCAATAAATGCCTAGACTAAACTCACCAGCTGTTGTTGTTGTTGCTGTTGTTGCTGTTGTTGTAAGGCTGCTTGCGGCTGCTCCTGCTGCTTGGCCGATCCGTAGTAGCGCGTGAAGCTCTGCTGCAGACTCGGCGTCTTCAGTGTGAAGGAATTCGTGTTGGCATCGGTGTGAAAGGATAATTGCGCATGGCACACGGACTGCAGGCCACTGAACAGGGCCAGGCAGAGGGTCAACAGACCGCCGGAGTGCGAGAAGCCGAGCATGTTACGCTTTTCTGATTTATGTTGCCTTCGGCCAAATGCTAATCGTAATTGAGCTGATGATGACACTCTGCCGACTCTGCTGGCACTGATGGCACTGATGGCTGCCTCAATTGATAACAAAAAAGCACAATAAAAAAAATAAATAGAGTCCCGTTATCGACGACAAAGCAAACAACAGACCGGCTGCAGTTTGGCCAAAATGCGACTGTGCGTGGCCCACCCGCCGCTCGAGCGTTTTATACTTGCTTTTTGGCCCAGGGCCTTGGGCTCTGCTCTGCCCTGCTCTGCTCTGCTCTGCTGTGCTTTGGCCATTTACTTGGCATGCAGCAAAGACAGCGACGACGACGACGACGACGACGACGACGACGATGGCGGCAGCTGATGGCAAATGGAAAATTTTAGCTATTGGCGGTGTCTGCGGCAAGTGCCGCAATTCCAGCAGCATTACGACCCAATGTGCGTGAGCTGACCAGGCCCCGGCCACGCCCCCCAGCCCCAATCGATTTGCATGACAGACGCCTGCTTTGTTGGCTAATGAGCAGGGACCCCGATTGTCGCAATCGAAGCAAAAGTTATATAACTGAGATATGTATATAGGAGTAACTGAGGAAGAGGAAGCAGAAGAGGTGTGAGATTAGGTAGGGCGAGACTTCGATTTGAAGAGGCTAAGTAAACAGGCTGCAATTATTATTGAGCTGCAGTTTTAAAGCTAAACAAATCTTCAATCGAGAACCTGCTAGAAGGAAAGTCTCTAGGTTCTCTCCATGGAAGCTGCAGAGAAATTCCATGGAAATGCCTTAAAGATTCAGTTCATATGGAAATGAATGTACTCAAGCATTCAGCAAGTCGAGCTCAAATATGGGTATTACCTATGCTGTTCTGCTGAACATTCAGACGCAATGCGAGTGTTTTCTAATTGAAAAATTAAGTATTAAAATATGTATTTAATTTTGTATGAATATTTCACTTTCTTTAAGCAAGGAGTTGTGCTTGGAATTTCAATGTGAATCAAAGTGAAAAAAAAACGAACAACAATAGTAACAACAACAATGGATAGATAGGCCCTATGGATATGGTATTCAATACAAATTGAATATAGTCGTGCCGCTTACATAACACTCGCCAGCCAAAATCAGAAACAAAACAGCATAAAGAGGGCCAAAAGTGAGCGAAAAATATCAACAGTAACAGCAACAACAGCAACATCAGCAACAACAAGTGTGATGCGACCACAGGGCCAACTAAATATAAAGACCGGCATAAAATGCTGTTTATGGGAACGTGCGTGGCATGCGCAAGACGTGAGTGCCCCAGAGTCAGTTCTCTGTAGCTGGCAACGGCATTTCGATATCAATAATAAAAGTGGACAGCTCATGTGTGTGTGCGTGTGTGTGCGGCAGTGATAAGAGAGCGAGGTTAAGGCTAAACAGATATGACGCTCACCATAATTGCATTGGCAATTGCATTGCCAATTGGCTCGCTCGTCTCGTTGCCAACTTTTCAAATTGTCTTGTTGTGTTGGCCAAAGCGATTATGAAAGAAAACTATTACGAGTGCTTGCACTCACACCACCACTCGCATCTGTGTCAACTGGTCAAACAGTGGCTGCCCTCCACACACACACACACGCACACACACACACGCAGACACTCATGGCGTATACGTGATCGCATTACGCTTTGGTCTCGCGTGCGTTTCATTTTGTGCTGCCAAGACAAGACGCAATCGCAATCGCAATCGAAAGCGCATTTCACATGATTGAAAGTTGTCCATTATGTATGTATGCCATTCGCCCCGACATTCACGTCACTCCACCCCGCGCTGCACAGAAGAGCCGGCAGCTCGTATGTAAATAGGCAGCGCGTCGGGCCGGGCCATGGCCATGTCACGCGCTCGCAATTAAGCCAATGAGCCGACAATGAAGAAGACATCAGAACACTCTCCACACACACATTGGCCCGCGGAACGCATTGCAATATTTATAAATTTAGCTGCTGAAGGGCTAGCTGGATAAGAGCAATGCTCGCAGAGCGTGTTGGTCAGAGGAGCGTCGAGTCTCATGTAAATGGCCAAGTGAGCGATTGACTTGTCGCCCCCACAGAACGCCAGCTGGCGGGGGGTGGCAGGCGGCTGCAATCGGACAATGTTTCAGCGCCAGGGCAGCATGTAAAAAATAAACAGTTAAAAGGAGCCCAAAGACTGCGATTTCGACTGGAAAAAGGTCAACTTTTTTTATGTTTATATCCCTTTTTTTTATTGCTGCAAGAATACCACATAAAATGCTCCCAATTTAACGATAAAATGAAGAAAAACTGGAAGTAATTATTATAAAATAAAGAAAAGAGCTACAAATAAACATAATAAAATAAAAATAAAAAACAAAGTCGAAAACTCTTCGGACGTGTCGCCTGATCCGGAAGTTGCAGATGAGTTTGGCCGAAACGCGGTAGCTGCTAAATAACGGTACTTAATCATTTTACTGGGTCATTGTAAAGGCAAGAGTCGAGCCTTTCCACTGCGACGCTGCCAACTGACCTAATGTAACTGGAGCACGGCGCGAGACAATGTGTGTGTGTGTGTGTGAGAGAGAAAAGGAGAGAGGCAGAGAGAGAGACAGAGTGGTCAAAAATTACATATAACAGTATGCCAGGCGGCCAGCATCCGATTTGAGGCTATTAAACCCCAAACGTTGAACTTTTGAACTCGCACACTGACCTCAATGCACACATACACACACACACACACACACACGCACTTTTGCACCCAATCCTTGCGTTGCGAATTATTTTTGGCTGCCTTTTCGCTTTTGCATTTGCACAGATTAAATTGAGGCCACGTGCCATCTGTTCCAGATTCAGACTCAGGTCCAACTCCAGCTCCAGCTCCGCTGCTGCTGCTGCTGCTGCTGTGGCTCCTGGCTAGCTGCTGGCTCTGGCGCCCCAATGGCATCCGCATTCGCATACTATACGCAATTTACCTAGGCTGGTGCCGAAAGACAAACAGCAGGCATCAGCCTTTTTATGGCGTGCTAGCTACAGTGGGTGCAGTCGGTTGAAAAGCAATTTCAAAGTGGTTTTGATGGGTCAAAATAATATTATTGCATAAGATAAGGGAAACTATTAAATGAAAACTAAAATTTCGTTTAATAAAAATGTTAATGCAGTTAAAGCAATATGTGTAATTTGAAAAATGTTGAAAAAATATATTGAAATAATAACGAGTATAATAACAATATTAAATATTGTTTTAAAAAATGTTAAATTGAACAAATTTCAGTATGTGTTAAATATATATTTAAAAATAAACTATTTACTATGAATTCTTTTTGTATAAGATCAAAATCAACAATATTAAATACTGCTTAAATTATATAAAATTATGAAACGAAATAAAAATGTTTATTTTTATTTAAAAAGGTTTATTTTAAAAGAAAATATATGTAAATTGTTTTTTTTTTTAATTTTAAAAAAATGTATACATATATTTTTTAATATTATTGGAAAAATAGTATGAATTAATTAGGCACAAAATGTTGTATACAATATTAAATTTTGTTTAAGCTCAATGAAGTTAATAGTAAAAAATTTATGTTGCTTAAAATAATTTAAAAAATTTAAAATAATTCAGTTGTAACTCGAAATATTTAATACAAAATTAGTAAAAAGATTTTATGCCAAAAGTATATATTTTAAAAGGGTTTCAATTATAAAATAAATCCATTTCCTGCGAATCTCTCTTTTTTTTGACAAACATGTGACACCTACCTTGCTCCACTGTGCACAGTTGAAATACAAATAAAAACGCACCAATGCAGCAGTTTTTTTTTTGTGGGTTTAACTCACATAAAATTTTTTATTAGTTTCTCTCTTGTTTCATACACCAATACAAAAAACCAAACAACAACAACGAAGAAATAAACAGTATTCAATATAAGCAGACATATATATATTTATATATATATATATGTATGTATGTGACACATACATATAGATATATATATATATATCCATATACATACATATGCATATGTAGATATTCATACATATAGATACTTATTTAGAATGAGGGTCTTAAATTTTATGGGGCGTTATTGGACTCTGGTTGGATTCATGTTATTTAGTGCCTGTATTATTCGCTGCTTAGTTCAAGTAATATTAATTTCTTCTTCTTCATTGTATTGGTTATAGCATAATAATTCAGCTGTGAATCGAGTTGAATTTGCAAGGAGACGCGTATACCAGTCGATTTTTAGAGCTAATATAGTAGATCCATATACATACATATGTATATATTGTATATATTGTATATAGAGAGGGTGTATAGTACAAATAAGGAATTGCAACTCTCGGGGCTCACAAGAATTGCAAAATTGTTCGAATGCAGTTTTGTTGTTGCTTATATAATAAATACATATATATGTATATATATGTGTATGTGTGTCTGTTTGTGTTTATTTAATCCTCATATATATATATATATATATATATATATATATATATGTATACATATGTATATATATTGGATCTCTGTAGTTTTTAACATTTTTACAGTAAACCGTTTTTATTTTCTGATTATTTAAAATTCTCTTGTTTTATCGCTAGATTGATATTAAAAAAAAAAAAAAGTTTTACCATATTTCACCATAAATATTTATTTTGTATATGGAGTATATTTATTTAATTGCATTGTTTTTTTTTTTTCTTTTGTTTTTTTTTTCGGTTTTGTTTGCTTTTCAACTTGAGTTTCTGTTGACACTGAAATAGTTCGTAAGTCTGGTTAAGTTAACAAACAACACACCCATACACTGCCTCACAGTTGTATGTGCACGCACTTACGTTATGAATATGCCATAGAGACTAGGTACACAAATAGAATATATATTTGTATTAGTTTTCCAGCTTGGTTTTTAGAGGGAAATTTGTAATGCTATTGCTTGGCACATTTCGCATGCTCTTTAACAATGCTTTAAATATTTCATCTTCTTCTTCTTCTTCTTTTTCGCTTTTTAGCTGAGTTTGAAAAATATTTGCGGCTTATAACAACGTCTATAAATATACTATATGCATGTAACATGAATTCTGCTAACATTTTATTTAATTCTTTAAATCTTTTTACCACGCTGTAGAGGAATATAAATACTTTATGTAACTTTTCATATTTTTTTCATGTAATATATATTTTAGTTATTTCTTGTATTATTTTTTTTTTCTGATATATTCGTATTGGAATAAGTTCTTTAAAAATATGTCAATCGCAATTTCCTCTCGGTTTAACAACTTTGCTGAGCAAACTTTTCATGGATCGTTAAAAAATACATGATTTTTTCATTATCATTTCCACTCTCGTTTTTTTCTCATCTCATCTCATCGCATCGCATTTCTGCTTTGTGCTTTAAAAATTAATAATATTTTTTGATTAGCATTACGTGTATATAAGCATTTCGTTCGTTCTTATTCATTTTGTTTACTTGTTTTTATTGTACATTGAGAATACGCAAATATTTGCCATTTTGACGAATAAAATTTTTTTATTTCCCCATCGTGCTAAAAATTTGTCCTAAAACTGCTTAAAAAACGCTCCCACAGTACCTGCAGCCGCCCTCGACGCGGAGAGTCGTCTCCTGTGTCAGAGCGCTGGCCTCTGATTCCTTAGCTAAGCCTCGCGCTCCCCTTTTACCCCTAAGCTAACAAGTAGAAAAAAATGGCCTGGGTCGAAAAGTTCTGCTAGTTCGCTAAGATGCGAATACTTACGTCTTATATACATACATATGTCTGTATATATGTACATACATATATATTTAAAAAAAAGATATCTCCCGCCTGGAGGGGCTCAGCCTGGCCCCAGCTTACAGTTCGGCGAATATGTTCTCCCTGAAGTCGAGTTCCGGGTGGGCTGAGTGCGTCGAACCGTGCCCGTAGTCGCGCGACTTCATTGAGCTGCGCGCGGAGCTGGAACTGAAGCTGGTGTTCCTCGGGCTGCTCCGCCGCATGCGTCCCTCCAGGCCGGCCATCTTGTTCAGCGGCTGGGTGGGGTCCAGCTCGCAGAAGGCGCCCGCAATCAGATCCGTGCCGTTCAGCGAATTGAAGCTGTCGCGCTTGGAGCTGCGCGAGGTGCCGCCGCCGGGTCCATGATGGGAGCCGGCGCCCAAGCTTTTGCGGCTCAGTCGGCGCGTATATTGATACTGATAGGCGGGCGGGGGCGGAGCGGGCTGCGGGCCTTGCACAATGGCTGAGCGCGGCAAATTGTTGTTGCCACCGGGTGTGTAGCTGTCGTAAAAGTCCTGCGGCACCTCCTCCTCATCCAGCGGCGGCGGTGGCGGCGCCGGCGGCGGCTGCTGCTGCTGCTGCTGTAGGTGGCCCAGGCGCTGCTGCGCCTGATGGAGATGCTGCTGCTGCTCCGGCAGATTGGAGCACAGGCTGTACTCCGTGGGCTGGCTGCTGCTCGAGATTGACATGCTGAGCGGATCACTGCCGGGCATCACCAGAGCCAGCCCGGTCTTGTCGTAGCCATAGCTGGAGTCTCGCTTGGGCTTCGGCGAGCGCTGCGCGTACAGCTTCTCAATGTCCGGCAGCTGGCGGCCGACGCCGCCGCCGGACAGACGGATCTTGTCGTCCTGCTGCTCGCGCTGCATCATTTCCTGTATGTCCATGCTGCGCTCCCGCTCCAGCAGATCGATGATCTCCAGGTCGCGCTCCAGCGTGCTCGACGAGAAGGTGCTGCTGCACTCGCTGAACGACACATCCTTGTTCCGCAGCCCGCCGCCGACGTTCGGCCAGCGCTGCGGCGGATGCATCATGCTGCTCACCACGGAGCTCTCCTCGCCGTCGCCGTAGTTGCTCGTGCTGCTGTCGTCCATCAGAGCGCTGTTGTTGCCGTTGCAGTACGTGGAGGCGGTCAGATTGGACACTGAGTTGTTCGACACCGACATGTACTCCACGCCCAGCTTCTGCCGCGCCGCGCCGCTGGCGGAGGAGGCGGCCTTCAATGTGCGGCTGCTGTTGTTGCTGCTGGTGCTCGCCGGCTGCTTGCGCGCCGATCCCGTGGACGCATGCCCGTCGGAGATGATGTTGATCTTGACGTCGTGCTTCTTGCCGCGCATGTTCTTGCTAAGATTGTTCACCATGCCCGCGTCTCCAGCGCCGCGACCACCCAATACGCCGCGCTGTCGATCCCGCTCCCGTTCGCGATCTCTGTCCCGATCCCGATCCCTATCCCGGTCCTTGTCCCGCTCCCGTTCACGCTCCTTGTCGCGCTCCCGGTCCCGCTCCTTGATGCCAGACTGACCCTGTCTGTAGGGTGCACCGCTGTACCGATCCGTCGCGCCCACGCCATGCCCCTGGCTGCGCTCGTGGCGCCCAGACACGGCGTGCCCCTTGCTCGGATGCTTCTGCGCATCTGTCGCCGCCTGGCTCTGGCCCTTGGCCACAATGCTCGTCGTGTTGCTGTGCTCGTCCTTCTCAATCGAGTCCTCCTGGGAGCCCGCATTGCTGCGGCGCTGCGACTTGGACGCCCGCTTGGCCGACAGACGAAAATAGCCGCGGAGGCGCTCCTGTTCATCTCTGCCGGAAGAGAGTCGAAGCAGAGCAAGTGAGCTTGTCAATGAATAAATACTCAGTGAAGCCGAGCTGGCTTAGCAGGAGCGAGAGGTGATTTAAGGGAAATGCCACTACTCATACACGAGGAGCAGTGCAATGGAGCAGCCGTACTCACCTGGGCAATATCTGCGAGGCGTAGATGCAGGGGAATATGACCGTGGGCAAGAAGGCGACCCAGACAAACATCAGGTAGGTGAAGTCGAAGTGCTTCTGATTCTCGTAGGTCTCCTCGAGCGAGAGCCGCGCGAAGCGCAGTATCATCAGGGGGCACAGGCAGACCACCTGGGTGGCGGCCATGCTGCCAAAGTTGCGCTGCTTGCGCTTCTCCCGGCAGACGTCCATTTCGGCGCTGTAGAGATCGTAGGAGCGGCTGCTGCTGCCGTGGCCATTGCTCAGACCGGCCACGCCTCCGCCGCTGTGCGCACGTGGCTCCGACGAAGCGGACGAGTTCCTGAAGAGGACGAAGAGGAAGCGCAAGCGGAAGCGGAAGATAATGATGGGGCGATAGGTGAGCAAGTTGTTGAGGAAATCAAAGTCATTAAACTGGCATCGGATTGAAATTGAGCTCATTAGCAATGCAGATGCCCGCTGGCCCAATCTGGTAACCATGGCCACGCCAACCAGGCCCACCCTCTACCACAGCGCCTGAAGTACGGCTCCAGCTCAATCCGTTCGAAAAATTAATCAGTGCAATTAGCAACTGTAACCCAAATCGAAGCCCAAACGACCAAATGAATAATGAACCCACATTTAATTTCATTTTTTTTTTTTTGGACTCCACCCGGGCCCAGCAGGCGCTTAATATTTCAATTTAATGGCGTGCGGCTCAGGTCGAGGCCGCAGGTATTATTTGTCCCTTTTGGAAAATTTGATAAACATTCTAAATATACCATTCGATGCCAATAAATCCAATCATAATCAACTGAGCTACAAATAATAATTATTTTATTATTATTAATGCTGTTGTTATTTGATATGGCTCTCTGCTGGCGCCCGCATGTCCTTGACGAAAATATAGTATATTGTGTAATTTAACTCTCTTCACCTAACAAAGTCTATCTCTCTCTCTCTCTCTCATTATCTCTCTCTCTCTCTGCTTTGGTTCGTCTGTCAGTGCTTTACAGCCCAATTGATTAATGACTTATAGCAAAATAGTCTAGATTAAGGACCTTTTCAACAGCTATGCAACACTGGGCCGTTTAGTGTTGGAAAGTTTTACGTAGGCATGCTCAACGAACTGCACTTACCTCTGTCGCATGCGTAGATCGACACGATGCTCGTACATCATGACAGCGAAGGGCCCATCCGGCGGACGCAGCTCCTGGGAGGTGCGTATATAGAGATAGGACAAGAGGACGGCCGGCCCACAGTACCTGCAATGCGAATGCTCGAGTAGTACATATTTAGGCGTCTAAGTCTTTGGGGTCTCTGCACATACATAATTAGAAACAATCCCCGCGTATATTCCTGCATGTCATCCATCAAGTTGACCACGCACAGTCCAATGCCCGACAGCTCGGGTATGTACGCCTGCAAGCAGAGGATAAGAATAAAGTCAAACACAATACCCGAATTCACGACCCACATCTCGTTCGATATAAAAACCAAATTGTTTTAAAAGGTCACTGTGTGGCATTTGGGCTCTGTGAAATTGACGAAAGCATTATCGATATAAAATACCAGAGCAAAGCCAACAAATGCTCGACTCAAAGATACCCCGTGCTCAAGTGCCTAATCACCATTCAAGCACGCTTCAGCTCGCTGAATGGGATAAACACATAGTTCCATGACGAACGACTGGGAGGTCGCTCGGCCCAACAGAGGTTGGGAGAGAGAGAGAGAGAGAGAGAGAGAACTCGTTTGTTGGATAGTCACCCGCTATCGATTCCGGGTGCACACAGACAAAAAACAAAGCGGCAAAAAATGGATAATTGAATGGAATTTCCGCTAAAGTTGAGCACACACGAAAGTTGAATTCATTGTGTCCCTGGCCGTGGCTCGGGCACATGCCTGTGCCAGGGCGGCAGACAGGTATTGGTACTGATACAACAGGCCACACACACACACCCCCTCACCGCGACGCGTGCCTCGCCCGCCCCCCCTGGCCGTGACCGTGACAGATGCCACGGCATGCTATCTATGCGTGTCCCCTTCTGCCGGTTCAGTTGGCCCGGCCCACTCGTAATTGTATTGTTAACACCCACCACACATTGGGGCGCGCAGCACGCCGATCGGCGTCGCGCCGTGCCACCGGCTCGTGGCATGCCACCACGGCGGCTTTGTCGAGGCATTTCGCGTAATTGTAATTACACATACGCATGCAAGTATTTTCCGTTGGCAGCTGCAGGGGCTCGCCAGCGCACACAAATAAAGTACAACAAACAACAAAACAAAAAAGAAAAAGAGGAAATGAATTTATGGATATTAAGTTATTATCCAAAAGGGTCCGAGCAAGCGTAAAGTGTATTTGTTGTAGTTGTGCTCCCATAAATTAAGCCGAGAATTGATGACATGAATTTTATCAAAAGTTGTGCAAGCTAACCAAAACCGAACCACACTGGATATGAAACGCTGAGCAACAGCCTCTGCAATCCCTAACAAGGACTCCAGTCCACTCAAGTTTAAAGTGCTTGAATAAGTTTTAGCTGTGGCCCATTCGAGCTGTCTTGCTGCTTTGCGTAATTATTTCGAGAGAAATGAGGAGCCATGCTTCATTTCGGAAATGGTTCTTCAAGGACTCTTCGACAGATCCTTGTTAACATTTGCTGTACAATTTTTGTGCTTAGCAATTTGGGCACTTTGATCAACTTTTTATATCCTATTTTTATTTTTTTTTACATATGCCAAGCACACACTGGGCACACACACACACACACACATACACACATACAGAATGCCACTGAAAGGCACTCGTAAATGATTTTGCATGAGCAACTATTAAAAAGTTTTTGCAGCTCCCTCAACAGCCCAAGAGTTGCCCCAAACTAGAATAAATACGTATATATACACACACACACAGCCACAAACACACGTATACATATGTCATGTAACTCAATCCGGCAGAGTTCGCGATGTGGGCGTGGCTGGCTAAAAAAGTTGTGTCAAAGTTTTCAAGAGAAAATTACAGAGCGGCGTCAGCTATGCCAGCAATATGCATAAGAAAGATGGCCGAAACTTTTCGACTCGACTCGGCCCGAAAATGTGACAACGAAAAGGAAAAAAAAAAAACATAAAACATTCTCAACACTGGCCCGACCCGGCTCTTACCCCTAAATCATGAACTTAGCCCCCGCCTGGCCGCCGTGTCGCCCACAGCAGTCATTTGGGTAATGAACTGTTAGCGCCGCACAATCTGGCCAAGAAATCTGTTTTGAAATTCCTCGGCCAACGCACAGTAAAATGCAAATAAAGGACAACAACAGCAGGGCCAACAACGACAGCGACAACGATACCAAAGATGACGACGATGATGAGCCTCTTAGCAGCAGCTTGGGGGCCGGGCCGGGCCGGGCCAGGCATCAGGCTGGGCCCGAATGCAAAGCGTTAAACGAGACAATCTGCAATTTTATTACGGCTGCGGCCAACCACGCTGCCAAAAGAGGGGCGTGGCACATTCCACGGAAACTGTTGTACAATTTAACGAGTCTCGAGTTCTGCGGTCGGTCATCTTCCCTTCGATACTCTCTGAACTCAATATGCAGGCCATGTGGTCAAGTTTGTCGCCACAAAGGAAAACTTAAATTGAGACTAAATTAAACTAACGATAATACTAATAGAAATGCTGATAATAATGATGATACTTATTACTTATAGAACTAATGAGAAAAACAACTATAATGGGAAATAATAATAATAATCATAAAAAAATAACTTAAACAAAAATTACAAAAAATACAAATAATAATACAAATAATAATAATAATGATATAATATTAATAATATAAAAATATTTAGCAATAATGAGAATTACAACATTAATTAGTAATAATAATAATCAAAATTATAATAATAATAATAATAATAATAATAATAATAATAATAATAATAATAA